GGGGGGGGGGAAGGCGGGGCGTACTCTTATGTTTTGCATGCCTTAGCGGTTAGACCATTGACCACGCGTCCTCGAGAGCACGGAGCATTGTTCCCACAGGACCGATCACCGATGGCCAATCGTTCCTTCCTACTTTGCCAGAGATGGTTCAAAAATGTCTTCCCTAGTCTTATCTATCCCAACGGTATCCCTTCCCGCCTTCTCAAACCACTTCCTACCTCCCCAGTTCAGCTACCGTCCCCTCCTCTCTATTCCGTGCCTCAAACATCTCCCTGTACCTCCCTTTATTTTTCCCAGCTCAGTCATGTACACTGCGCCCTCCTCTGCGTACAACTGACATTCCGTGACTACATGAAGGCATGAGCTGGGAGGGTTTTTCCAACGAGCACAACGAGAGTTGTTGACGAACGTGTCGCGAGATATGCTGTGTGATTCCAGCGGTCGACGTTAACGTCGTTTCCCCTCGCTAAGAATGCCCCCCCGCCGCCCGCCCCCCCTGATACACTTCGGCCACCTAACGGAATAATCTGCCATCGCTGGAGTATCTCATCTATCGCAAAAGATAGTACCTGTAAAACCTCAGGTCGCGCCTGTCCCCGCTCCCCGCCTCTGCCGTAGGAGAAGGCGTTTCGATCTTGCCACGTCTGGCCAAGGGCATCGCCGTCCTCCCAGTCTCCGGTCCCAACCTTTTGCCGACAAAAGGGAGAAAAAACAGAATAGTGTGCGCACAACCGACATAAACAAAAGAAAAATGCATACCAGTACCACTATTTACTTGTCTTTATTTCACAAGCGAAAGGAAAGCACGCAAGCACGCAGCAAACACCACAGCGGCGAATCCGAAGCGACCAGGAAAGTGAGGGTGGTTTTGCACGTCGTCTTTGGGACGGCCGGCTGACACATTTACAGGTGGTGTATCTGCGGCAGAGACGCATACTTTCGTGTAAAGAAATACACAACGCGCCCGTGTTACGACACTGAGCCTCAAGTCAACCGACAAGTTTCCGACCCAACTTAATAAAAAAAACGTGAAACCTACTACATGAACATCCAACCACGCTCACCCTCTCGTTGACCATTGACCCGAAGTCTCCGGCAGGATTGCTGAACAGTCTGGCCGCGGGTCGCTCTACCCCCTGGGCGGACAGCTCCAGCGCGTGCTTGCGGATAAAGTTCATCTCGATCGGCTCGTCCTACAGCAGCATTACCACATAGTTGTATTCCAAGCCACGCAACGCGGGAGGAATGAACGAATGAAATGAGCAAGTCGACTCAAGGCTCAAGATTTGTAGAGCATGCTTTCCCTGGTGGGCAGCAATTACCTCCTGCGGTAAAATAAGCATGTCTGTCGGTACGCCTATCGCATGGGTGTATTTATGCGTATGCATGAGTTGTTGCCTCCCTTGCTTACGCACCGCGGCCGCCGCGGTCTCAAAGAGGTCATCCAGGAGATCAACGACGTTAGCGAAGCTGTCTCTGAATATCCCGGACAAGCTCGCGAGGACGTCGATTCGAGGCCGCTTCAGTTCGGATAGAGGCACCAGCTCATACCTGACGTAGCGGAAAGAATACGGTAACCCACCCAAAATGTGGGACGGGACGGGAAATCGTTAATGGCTATGATAAACGCTCTCTCGAGACAACCGAACAAGGGAGAATGATATCGCTCGCAAGGAATGTTGTGCAAGGATAAGGTTGTCGGAGAAGAATACCATACCCACGCGACAACGAAACATATAGCGTGGTGTGGATGCCCCGCTTGCCGAACCGCAACAACGGCAGACCGTCTCTTCTTCACAGAGAGACCAAGGAGCAGCGTTAGTGCCTTGACCGGCCACGAGAAAATCAGATCACACGCTGAAAACCTAAATCTCAACGGCAAGCAGTATAAAATGCTATTGTTGCCAAGACTTTTTTATTTTATTAATAGCTTGCTTTGCGCGACCCTTGACGCCCGCCTGGACTCAGAGTGACCCAACAACAACAACTACCACAGTCGATCCAACACTGACGAGCAGATCAGGTGGACTCGACTCTTGGTCGCTTCACGACACGGTTCAACGTCAGCATCACATCTAGGCCGGACTCTCGCTTAGTTGACCAAGAACAAGCAGATCCAGTCAGATCTAGATCCGGCTCTTGCACAGTTGACCACTATCATACCACTATGATATCAACCTAGGCACGACTCTGGCATACTGTACGACGTTTGGACACCAACAGAAAAATCAAATCGAGATTGACTCGTAGAGCATACTTGACGTTTGGACATCAACAGCAGCATGGTGGTATTGACAGACACGACTGACTCTTGATGCTTACTTGACAACGCGACCCGTGGCCTCCTTGACCGGCCTCGCGCCGACAAGTGCCAGCGCTATGGCTACGCTCTCTCCTCGAGTCTTGATCGCATCGAGCCCCCACCTGACAGGGAGCCACCCGCCCCCCGCCCCCCAGACAAACACGAGAGGCAACAAAAAGAGAAAAAGGAGATGTTAGGTATTAGCGAGCGAGAGCAGAGAGGTCTCATGACGCTTGACCAAAGATTAGATAGATAGATTACCTGCCGTCCTTGACGCTCCAAGCTCGAAGCATAGTGTGAGATATGATGAAACCCCGAGCACTCGCGTCAGCGATCATGGGCCTTAGGGCGGTCCTTCTAAAGGGCGAGTGGCCGATTTTTTTCTTTGGTGAAATCTGTTTCCACAGAAGAATAGAAAGAACAACCAAAGCTTGTCTAGGTAGTGCTTTGAATAGGTTGGGCGCGCTACAATGTATGGCGACTCGGCCTACCACATACCCGCCGTAAAGAGGGCACACTACTGCTGTACGGCATGTGCTTTCAAGGAAGCACTCACATCATCACCGCGACCGTTTCGGGGAAGTCTCCCGTGTCTGCCACGTGCGCCTCCAGGATGAGCCTCGCCGCTTCCGATCCGCGAATCCACGCCGCTGGCGACGGCATGCGGTACTGCGTACCGTTGTTTTCGGAAATTCGGGGCGTGGACACACGCGCGATTGACATACGACAAAATAAACAAAGATGCCGGGCAGACACGCTACGTGAGATAGCTTTTCGTGCCACAAGAAGTCCTACTTTCTAACGAACGTAGATAGATGTGAAATGCAACGTGTACGCCAACCCCGCACGAAAGTCCGCTGTAAACAGATACCAACGACAACAACACGTTGCTGCTGTTGAATGCTAGCTCTCCTTCCCACCGCTTCGCACTGTAGGCATCAAGAACGAAAACGAGCAGTTGATAAACGAGCCATGATATGATGACATGCGGCAGGAATCACACACGCACCGGATCCAAAGCGTGCATGTTTCGACCGGTGGGGAGAACGCCCGCGCCATCCCGAAGGAGGTCACCTGCCATTAATTACACCGTTAGTTACACAGTTAGCTACAGCCAATAATGATACGGGCGGGTGGTAAGGTGTGGGTGGGGTGGCGGCAAGACGTTGACATTGACGTAGTTGTTGATTTCGGGCAAGGCACAAAAGGGGGAGCCAGACGAACGAGAGCCGAGGGAGAGTCACTAAAATCACACACACACAAGAAAAGAAAGAAGAAGGCGATAAAGGGATGACGTCACAGTCGTTCGTTCGACGGCGACGGATATCTTGAAAGCAGAACAAGAACGAAACAACCCGATAGCCTACACTCGTACCACTGGCAGCCTACACTCGTGCATATTCATGCAATAAAATGCTGAGGATGTTTCGAAAGTGTCCGAGCGCCTTATCGAGAGAGCGTAGGAACGCTGCAAGAGCTGGAGCGAGCTGTGGGTGAACGAAAGCGCACACAATAAACTTAGGGCTGAACGAATATCCCCCGCAACACACTGCGGACACGTTTCCGTGTCCCAAAACGGCCGGCCGGAAGAACCTTCTCTCACCCCCGACTCCCGGCTTGATGTACGACCCCTCCAGCGCCCTCAACAGGTTATCAACTTCGTCGGTGTTCTGCTCCAGCAGCCCCTTGATGTCCAACGCTTCCGCCACTCGACGGCTGAGCCCAAACACACCGCCCTCCCCCGCGATCACTTCGCTTTCCGCCGCCTCAGCAGCCGACACGCTTGCGGGATTTTCCCCTGGCGGCGGCGGTGGCGATGACGAGACGGCCATCCCCTGTTGATCCCGTCCGATTTCGTTCATCGCATCGAGCTCCTTGTTGATGTCGTCCGCAGCCTGCTTGTTCCCGAGCTGGCGGAGGAACCGCAGCCACCCCCACCGGAAGTACTGGAGCAGGGCCGGCACGGGGGGGGGG